TGAGGAAACTTTTTCACCAGTTGTAAGGTTTGCCTCCATACGCCTTATCCTAGCCATTGTTGCACATTTGGACCTAGAATTACATCAAATGGATGTAAAGACAGCATTTCTCAATGGAGAACTAGATGAAGAAATCTATATGAAACAACTGATAGGTTTCATTGCTGAAGGTCAAGAGCGTAAAGTTTGCAAACTTCATCGCTCAATTTATGGCCTTAAGCAATCGTCTAGACAGTGGTATTTTCGTTTTCATCGAGCCATAACTTCTTTTGGGTTCACGATGATCGAAGAGGATCACTGTGTGTATATCAAACGGTCCAAGGATAAATTTATGATTTTATCTCTTTATGTGGACGATATTCTGTTGGCTGGGAATGACAAGGGTTTGGTTATAACCATAAAAGAATGGTTGTCTTCTAATTTTGAAATGAAGGACATGGGAGAAGCTGCATATATATTGGGAGTTAAGATTGAAAGAGATCGATCAAAGAAACTCATTGCTATGTCACAAGAGTCTTATATAATGAAGATTCTTGAACGCTTCAATATGCAGCACTGTAATCCCATTGATACCCCTGTCATGCAAGGCGAAGGCCTGAGTACTAAAATGTGTCCTAAGACTTCAGAAGAAAAGAAAGAAATGATAATTGTTCCTTACGCTAGTGTTGTCGGAAGTTTGATGTATGCTATGATGTGTACTCGACCCGACATATGTCATGCTGTGGGGTTAGTGAGCCGTTATCAATCAAATCCTGGTCCAGCACACTGGAAAGCAGTTAAGAGGATCCTGAGATACTTGAAAGGCACTATGGACTATCGACTTTGCTATCAAGGGAGTGATATACGCTTATTAGGATACTTTGATGCTGATTGGGGAGGAGACCTAGATGAGCGTAAATCGACGTCTGGATATGCGCTCTTGCTTAATGATGGGGCAATTTCTTGGAATAGCAAGAAACATGCATGCATAGCTTTATCTACGATGGAGGTAGAATTTATTGCATGTTCTGCTGCAGTACAAAAAGCAGTATGGCTAAAACGTTTCTTGGAAAATTTAGCCATTGTCACTAATGTCCCAAGACCAGTGACAGTATATTGTGATAGTCAAGCAGCCATTGCCTATGTGAAAGATCCCAAGTACCATGGTAGGACGAAGCACATTGACATAAAGAATAACTTCATCAGAGATATAATAGCGCAGAAGGAAGTAGTCCTGCAATATATTTCAACCAACAGGATGGTTGCTGATCCATTTACGAAGGCTGTTCCAAGAGACGTGTTCTTGACTCACAGGATGTCTCTAGGATTACGTAGAATGTGATTATAATATGTAATATTGTTGAGGATCACTGGATTATGTTTGTATATGTATTGTACTTGTTTGTTAATGAATTGATATTTTATCAACTAGTACAATGTTATGAGACTAGCACAAACACACATATATTGTTGAAAGGTATGTCACCAGGCAATGATTGGCTCACTCACACGAGCAATCGCCTCAAACGCTATAGTAAGCGGGTTGAGATGAGACGATATGTACTATAAATGCTGGAAGAGTAGTTTAGTACGTAAAACGATTTAATGTCGCCTTGATTGGAATCAAGATGAGGTCTGTTATTCGTATGTGATAAGACCGAACATGATAGTCCCACAATCATGTATGCCTGAAGGTAGCCGGATGCGAGTACTAAATTGGGCGTTGTGGAAAGCGAGCTGATATAGCACTCGGGCTAAACATGAGTACGTGAGAAGCACGTGACCATGTTTAGGCTAAGATCCGTATAGTGGATATGATTAATAAATGACATACGCTCTTATAGACAGAGAAATCCACTATAGAATGTAATTCATACTACATGTGCTTTATTCGACCAATAAGGGAGATGAGTACAATTATCCCTATTTACTCATCGTGTGAGTCCTTGAGGTAATTTATAATTTACCTCACTTCGTGTCCTATGTTACTTCTGACTGTGTTCTCGAAGTAGAAGATCAATGTTGCTACTTTAGCATGTTACCGGCAGTCATGAATAGATATGGCTTTATGGGACGTGTATAGGAAAGCAGTTGTTTTGAAATGGAGAGGGACATGAGTGCGAAGGAAGACTATTGTTGTTTTACATCTATCACATGCGTTTACCGGTCGACCAATTATTTCGCCTTTGATGGCTTCGAAAATAATTGTAAATACATGCTGTTCTTGAGAATAATCAAGTTTAGCCTTTAAGGGATAGGTATACTTGGACTGATGTAACAAAATATGTCTGGGGCACTGTGAGACATCAATGGTTTATTTATTTTTGGGGTTGTAGCCATTATGTTGTCCCTAACAGGTACATAATTAGAGCTCCCAAGTGCAGGTGTACTCATTGGTCGCACGGTTTTCTTGCCAGTATGAATTGTTTCTAAGGTAGATGAATGTTGAATGCCTTATGTTCTTAATAGAGCATCATCAAGCCTATCATGTGCGAGTGGGAGATGTTATATTTCGTCGGTCTGCCCATTATGTGTGTGTCCAAGGGACACCATTTGCTCTAATAAGAAGTATGTCTGAGAGACACCTTTTGAAGAGGTGCGAGGAGAGTTTCTTAATGGAAGTTAAGATAACTTCTTCGGTAGATGAACAAGATATAATTCAGAACTCTCTCTCTCTCGACGTATAAGGATTCCGTATCTATTCTTAGAAGACAATCGGCATTAACGCTGTGGAACAAGAATACTTTCCCTGTGATTGTATTCGGACCAACGTGAAGTAGATTCGTTCATCGTTTGCTAGTGATTCAACGTGTGATCCTGGAAATTGTGTTTGGAGTGCATCGAACAGGCTAGTCGATTCTCCCAACACTCGATTCCTACAGATACAAACGGGCTAACCCGTTATGACTAGTCAGCGGTATAATAGGAACGCACTGGATAACCGCATCTATTTTAAGAGGTTAGAGAATGGCAGCTACATGTATTTGCTGCTGGATGTTGATGATAGGTTGAGAGCACTTAAGAACATAGCTGATATCGCTAAGCTAAAGGGCAATTAAGTAGGGAATTCGAGATGAAAGACTTAGGTGCGGTGAAAAAGATACTTAGTAAGGAGATCCAAAGGGATATGTCTATAAGGTTGCTTCGACTAATAACAGGGTGATTATATACGTAAGTACTGAGACAGTTTAGCATACAAAAAGCCAAACTGGTGAGTGCCCAACTTGCTGCGCACAGTCGAGGAAGATGAGGAATATATGTCTTGTATTAATTATGCTAATGATGCAAGTAATACTCTGTATGCTATGATTTGCACTGAACCAAATATTCCGTATGATGTTAGTGTGGTAAGTAAGTATATGAGTAATCCCAAAAAGAAGCACAAGAAGCTGTGAAATGAATTTTGAGGTTTCTAATATGGACAACAGACGGAGGTTTAAGATTTGGGAAGAGACGGACTCCAAGAGATATAACAGATAATGTGGATTTCGATTTGGCCCGTGACTTGGATGGACAAAGGTCCTTGATAAGTTATGTGCTCAGTTCTCTCGATTGTGCCGTCAGTTGGAAAACACAAGTACAACCAGTAGTTGCTTTAGACTGACAACTAAAGCATTATATATTACGCCAAATGAGGCCATTAAGGAAGCTATTTGGCTAAGAGGTTTGCTTAGTGATCTCATATTGCAATAGATGAATATTGTTGTTTACTGCAACAATCAGTGTAATGCATTTGACAAAAAATCATATGTATCACGAGCGTATGAAATACAATGATATCTACCATTTTCTAAGTGAATCGTTTCATAGGGAACCGCATCCATTCAGAAAGTGTACACATCAGGTATTCCAACAGACATGTTAACAAAGCCTATCGCATTGACCAAATTCTAGTACTGTTTGGACTTGATCAATGTCTGCAGCGAGGGAGGAGCATGGAGAGACGGCAGTTGATGAGGATGAAGTTGGATTTCTTGCCAAAGTGGAGATTTGTTGATTATGGCTCGAAATTAATTCTGATTGATTTGAAATTAGGCGCAAGTTCATGATTTTGGCACAATCAGGGTATTTGCGAGGGCTTGATGATAGAGAGGCGGGCGATCGCATATGCGAGGAAAGGCCCGCCTAGCACCTAGACGAACTTGGCCACTAAACGAAGGATCATGACTAATCCATGAAGCGGGCGGACATCGAGAATTCTAAATCCTAGGGTTTTCTTATATGTTCTAAATTACTCCTAGGGGCGGGCAATATCATAATTGTACACTTCTGTGATAAATATGGGTAATTAGTAGATGAGGAGATGCGATATCTACTATTAGATGGAGGAAAGATTTACGAATATAATTGAACCTGTACTTGTATATAAAGGGGTCTTTTCCCACTCATTCGATCGACCTGTGACACAAGCGCCAATGAGTGATTAGGCTAAGCGAGTCCAAGCATGCGGATAAAGCGGGTCAGACTCTCGAACATTGCCCAATAACTATTATGTTTTCCAGCATAGTAGCTGGCATGCCCAAGCATCCGGATAAAGTGGGTCGGACTCTCGAACAGTGCCCGATAACTATTATGTTTTCTAGCATAGTAGCTGGCAACTTGGGCATATCTTGGCAGGCACTCGGCTCGACACAGCTACAATACAAGCTTGCTAAAAAATCATATTTTCAAAGTTTTTTTAAGATTAGAAACTTTTGAAAACCCAAGAAAGTTTTTAGAGCCGCAATCCAAGAGAGTTAAGAGCATGAGAAAACTCATTTCTTATTTTCTCATTTCTTATGATTGATTCTTGTGGGTTAGGATGTTACCTAAGATTGGAAACACTTGAATGTGGGCCTTCCAAACGATTGTAATATTCACTTTACCGATTTCAGAGGAACAACCTTGTGGATCCCTTTCCGTGGAGTAGGCGCGTTACAAAACCACGTAAATCCACAATGTTCATGTTTTATTTTTGCAATTTATTTCTTTGTTGAATTGTTCCGTTTATTCACCTTCCGCATTAGTTGTAACATGTACAATGGAGAAAGATCGAACTTTGCCATAAACTGACACAAAAGTGATGAAAAGGAAAGGAAAAGTACCTTTCGAATACAGCAAGAAAGCGTATAGTGGGCTTAAGAAAAAACGGGGTGAAAAAAAAACCGTCTCTTGAAGGGATCAATCTCGAGATAACTTGGTGACTGAGAGTTCGACGCCGTGTCCAGGTTCAATAACCAAATTAAGAGCAGGGGAGTGGATGTAGTTGGGAGAGAGGGTGAAGGAGAAGTTGGAGAGAAGCTGGGCAATGAGAATCTTGAGCTCCACCAAGGCCAGGTTCTGCCCCAGGCACATGCGAGGTCCCACTCCGAAGGGCATGTACAAGTGCGGCAGCTTGCAGGCTCCCGTGATCCCGTTGGCAAATCTGCCCGGGTTGAAGGAGTAGGAGTCTGGACCCCATATCTCGGGGTCTGTGTGCAGTGTCAACACCATCGTCCACACATTCACTCCCTTCGGCACTTTCAGGTCCCCGAATTTCATATCCGTTAAGGCCTCCCTCGACACCACTGCCACGGGGGAGTATAGCCGCAGCGACTCATTTATCACCATCGTCAGCTGCACCCAGGACAGAAATGTTAACACATGCCAATAATTTGAAATGAAAACATTATATTATATGCACTCTGTCTTAAAGGTATCGGGAAGGCGCACCTGTTTCATCTTACGGACCATATCGGCATCAGGAAGACGGCCCCCACAAACTTCAAGAACCTCAGCGCGCACTCGATCTTGCCACTCTTGACTGGAAGCCAACAGCATGAGGCACCATGTCGCAGAGACGGCGGTGGTCTCGTAACCGGCTAAGTAAATGTTTTTGCAGTTGTCGACAATGAAGCGGTCCATGGCCTCCTGGCTCAAGTCGCTGTTTTTGGCGCCCTCAAGAACCATCTGCAGAAGGTCCTTCTCATATGCTGCGTCCATCCTCTCCTTCACCACCTGCAGTATCAAACTGCGGACCTCCTTCTCCAGTGCCCAGGCTTCTCTGTTATTCTTGGTGGGGAGGTATCTGTATCATTGTATAACCAAAATTGATTAAAGCCATCTGGGTGATAGTGCATTTTCTGTGGGTGCTGCTTAATTGGAGGTTTTTCGGGAGAGAGATTTAATTACTCACCTCATGCCAGGAATCCCAGTGGAGAGAACTTTCTTGGACATGGCCTCTTGGAGAGCCCTCAACTTGTGGAAGATCTCCTCTCCTTTGGCAAAATTGCTGCCAAAGCAGGCTCTGGAGATGACATCTCCCGAGAAACTTCTCATGTGCTGGTCGATGTTAATGTCGACTACTCCACCGGCTGCGTCCACTTTGCTCTTCCAGGACTTCAACAGTGTCTCTGTGGACTCGTTTATGAGGTTTATCATCCCCTGCCGGCCGGCAAATTCCCAAATGTTAATTAAAACAATTTGGTGGTGGTGACCGTGGTATTAAAAGACATCGATTAAGATAACATACCTTAACCTTCTCCATATAGAGCTCAGGAGCGAGGATCTTGCGCTGATGAGCCCAGTGGTGGCCGTTGGAAGTTAGGATGCCTTGTCCCATCAAGGGACCCCTCTCCTTGAACTGGTATGAGGGCTTCCCCAAGTCCAAGGATGTGCAGGTGGTAATCTCCCTCACCACGTCTGGTTGGTTCACATAAACTATCTGTGTGTTCCCCAGGGAGAAGGTAAATGTATCTCCTGTAAAAATAATGACACACCAGCGCATGAGATCGGCCTGATCTGATTGTCCATGTCCGAACCACAAATGATCTGTCCAATTCATTGAAGGAAGGGGAAGGAGAAATGATTTGATACAAGAGTAGTGAATTACTTTTCTGTTTTTTACTGAGCGAGAACGTGTCAAATGAAATTTAGTGTGAATGTGAGTAGTGATGATGTTGGGGCGCTGGAGTCATTTTGGTTGGGTCCAATTCAGATCCAGCTCCAGAGGAGCTACCCAGCGCATGCATCGGTAACAACGACCCCAAAAAAGAAAGATCAGCCATTGGCAGGGGTTGCAAGTTTGACAAAATGGAAACGGACAAAGAAGGAATTTTCAACATCGACCACCCTATGCCGTGCGGTGTGTCAGACGACGTGATTGGCTTCAAGTTCGACCTTAAGGTACAGAAAACATATGTCATGGTCATGCACATGATCATGTAGATCCGACTAGGAAATTTAAGTCGCACCAATCCCTAAATTTCATGAACTCCCTAATATTTGTACGAAAATCTTGCGTTTAATTTATATAGTTTGGAAAATGGAAAATCGAAACACGTGAATATTGTTAGATTAATTGTAGGAAAAAGATGAAGATCCCAGTTAGGACGGCGGGGAGGTGAACTACCGTATTGTTGTCTCCACTTGTCGAAGAAGGGGAAGAGGACAGTAGCACAATCATGGCGGGCAGGGGGCTGGCCAGGCGGAGTCTGGGGAGCGGAGGAGGAGGAGGAGGAGGATCTCGCCTTCTTGATCTCCATAATGTTGCCGAGCAAGAAGGCGGGGGGTGGTCCATTGATGCCTTGTTTCCTCAGCAAGGACCTCAACTTTCCCGGCTTCACCACCAGCGCGTTGTACAGCCTCAGCAACACTCCTAGTACCCCCACCACGGCTATAGATATCAGCGCCTTTGCGTTCGAGTACTGCAGATATTCCATCGCTGATGATCCTCCCAAGTCCTTGTGTGAACTTCACTCCGGAGTTCTGGAGACTTGGAGATGACAGCACTGATTGGGAGGTGGCTAATGGGTTTGGTGGGATGGATGGGGGGTTGTGATGCTGTTGCCAGATGCTAAGCAAGGCTCGCTTATATATATACAAAGAGTGACCAGGACAAGGTCGTCATAAAAGAAAAACGAGTGTAGCCCGCCAAGTAAGTCCCGTCAAAGTGGAATTGCGAATGTCGAAATCACACTCCCTTTTGATTAAAAATAGGAAACTGCGAACCCATTTTACGACGACCGGCATGGTTTGTCAGAGAGCGAGGACAACCGAGCACTCATTTTCTATATGGAATTTGGAGCTGATTACCTTGGAGTGGGCTCTCTCTCCACCTCTCAAGGACCCCACCAGCAAAAGGAAACAAAAGGAGGAATGACCTTTGGAACACAACAATTAACAAAACCTTCAATGTGCTTAACGTGTTCCCTTTTCACTTCTGAATGTCGTATTAAACCAGTTCCAATTTTATTAGGGAAACTCTTAGGATCCATTTGTGATGCTCTTTTTTGCTTTGAATATTTTAGTATTCTAAAATGAACGAGATCCGATTTTCATTCACGATAGCATGATCCGACATCGTGTTTAGCTGACACAACTGAATTTGGTGTTTAATCCATAGTCTTAAATGCATCGTTGGCTCGTTTTGTTGACGGTTTAAACTTTTATGAAAAGAAAATTTGCTTATTTTTCATTGTTGGAGTGTAAACCGGGTTAATTCCAAAAAAAAACACCAACTTTAGGTCGAGGGACAATTCTGGCCCGAACTTTTTTTTGTCTCGTAAAAAAACACCAACTTTCATTTAAATCCCAAATTTGGCCCCCCATTGACTTTCTGTCTGAAGTTACCCTTGTTTAAGAAAAAAAGTTATGGTGGTGAGCCTGGTGAATCTCATCCATGGCGTATGTCGACGGACGATGGTCTACAGCTTCAGATTACGACAAAACGACGAAGTTTGGCCAGAAAGATTTAATCTGGAGATATTTTTGACTTGCCGGTGAAGTGAAGGAGACGAACAGTTTCACCGTTATTCTTCAAGCTATGGTTCAGAGAATAAGACAATGAATAATGTTTTAAATCCAGTCAGCAAGTTACGTGGATTTATTGCTAAGGTGGAATAATCAAGTTGGAAAATCAATGGTTTTAAGTCAATAAGGGCCAGATTTGGGATTTAAGTGAAAGTTGGTGCTTTTACGAGACAAAAAAAAGTTCGGGGAATTGTCTTTCGACCTAAAGTTGGTCTTTTTTTTGGGACAAAAAAAGTTCGGGCCATAATTGTCCCTCGACCTAAAGTTGATGCTTTTTTATGGAACAAAAAAAGGTTCGGACCAAAATTGTCCCTCGACCTAAAGTTGGCGTTTTTTTTTAATTAACCCAATTATTGAGTCAAAATAGGGACATATATTAGTCAAGTCATTCCCACGTTACTATTCTGTCATAGAAAAAAACCATGATATGATTCGAGTTTCAGAACATTTTGTTCATTTGTATTTCGGGTGGACGTGAATTCAACGAAGGCCCAATTGCGGATAGTGATTTTTGTAAAGAAGAGACAAATCATGTTAGGTGGGCGGTCCTAGCACTCCACGGGAGACTCCCTTCGATGGACGATGTTAAAGTCAAAGGATGTTGGGACCGCTGAGCAAATTTGGAGTGCTGGTTACGTGCCCCTGCGGGAGTGGTTTCGCTTCGGTCAATATTGGCCAGCGCCACGTTATGATACACCGCGGACCAAGTGTCGTTTCCATCATCGCTAATGCTCTCCACCAGCCGATAAACTGTGTTAAAAATGCTGAAACCTTGACCCTGTTCATCCTGTTTCCTCCCATGTCTGATCTCGGAATACAGCGGTATCCCCTCTAACTTTCTCCACGGAGCTCATTACTTTCTCCAATAAGCAATATCATATTACATAATATTCCCAAATTGTATCTACTCTATTGTGTAAAACGAAGAGAGTGTCCTACCTTTTATAGGATCTCAATCTCTCTCTCTTCCTTCCTTCAATATCGTCAGTGCTTCTTTTACAATTATAATGCACGTAGACGGATGTACGAGTTTATCATCCTATGTTATCTCTCGCATGTTTCGATATTAAAGTCGGAATCTTTAATAACCTTCAGAAAAATAGCTTGAATCTTGAATTATATTCCTCATTGTGTTGATATGTATTCCATTTATATGTGCATTTTTATCACTTTCTTTCCCATTATTTACTTTTTTTTCTCTATTATTTATTTTTATCAGGTTCGTTGATTCAAATTTGTTTTTAATAGAATAGCTTTTGCCTAATCTTTCAAGGGTTGATTTCTTACTTACCTGCATCGCGCGTGCCCTACTTACTAATGAATTCTTTGGCATTTTCCGCCCTCTCTCTAGTTGGAGGCATTGTTTTAATTAGTTGATCATAAATATGGACATCACCCGCTAGCTAAGATTGCATGTAAACGATGTTCAAATTATTTACTACCAATCAGAAGAATGATTAAAAATAATTTTTGGAGAAAAAAATTTGAAACCCTTACTTATTTATTTTTTTTGCTAGAAATTGAAACCTTTATTTAAGTAGTGACCAAACAGCATTTTGCTTCCCCGCTGTACATGTTTACATGTCGAGTTTGCTGCTACTTTACCCAGATGCAATTGGTTCTCTGTTTGTTAGAAGAAATAGGCGTTTCATGAAATTTTCATGCTAACCTATTCTTGCTTTCTTGCAAAGTTAGCGGTCTGTCGCACTCAAATCAAGAGGGGTGATCAACCTTTTATTGATCAAGCCAATCTCATGGAATACAAATAAAAAAACGGTGTCATCTGTCTCTGGCACATGGCACGTATAGCATTTTTTTTTTTTTGGGTCAAACACGTACAGCATTAATTAGGGACGTGCTTTAAGTGCGCTTGTTACCTAACCGTATGTCTCAGATGCATAGAAATAGAACATGTTATTTCAACAAGTCTGTTAAACGAGGGATGCTCTCTCGGACGACGCATGATATAATTGACACTTGACTCTTGAGTATGAATTTGTTGAATGGAGAAAGCAAACTTATGAAGTCGCTCCTCTGTGTTCAAACGTTGAAACCCTCTTCGGATCATCCCACTGTTCCACGAAAGGAAAGGCTGGGAAGTCCGCCATCCATATTTTGCAGGACTATGACCAGAAGAAGAGTGGAATTTGGACGCCCCATCTGGAGCGGAGCACCTCCCTCCCCAGACCGCAATCTGTAAAGGGAAGAAGTTCAGCCCCCCACCAAATATCTGGTCAAAAATTACTCCTCCTGCGTCACTTTCTATTTAAATTAGGCAAAGGCGCTAAATGCGGATCTTTGATGATTGCCATGCACTTATTAATTCCCAATTTCAATAATGATACTCTTTTATATAATACAATACAGTGCAGTGCCAGTCAAACATTCAAAATCTCTTCACAAGCTCTCTCGTACTCGATCAGACCTCACTTGTCGTCCTAACTCTCCCACTACCGGCGGCATTTGTCTACTGGCGCTGTTATAGTTGAATTCTTCAAGCCACCATTTTGCGAATTTTCATTCATCCAGCGACAAAAGAGTTGATGTTATTTATAGGCTTCAAACTAGCTGGAGAGTGTCCCGATCCACCATCAATCGAAGAGGGAATAACCATAGCAAAAATAGCACATGACGTTAACAGGGGCACAAAATTATGTGCGCTTCTCACGTAGGAAAGGTAATCTTCTCTCTCAAAAACTCAAATCTTCAGCTCGTGAAAAAGATTTTTACTTTTTATTTCAGTAAAACTAAAAATGAAAATTCGTTATTTTCTTGGAAAAAACATGTTAATTTGTAAAACAAACGGTTTTCAATAAGAATGGATAATGTTGAAAACTTGTTTGGTGAGTCTTTGCAATCGTCCCTTTGTACTATATTTCAATCAGTACTCCATCCATTTATTTAGCATCTGTCAGAACACTATTGCCGATTTTCCTTTTCCACGGCGTCTCTTATAAAATATAAAATCTGTGGGTTGATGGAATCCCGTGAACCCGTCATCGGCCCTCCTAACTTTTTGATGTATACTTGAAAGGAAAATTCTTGAATTTCTAATAATTGGCCCCACTTCGACCGTACATAAAGAGAATATATTTACAAAATGCAAAAATCCCTAAATTGACCTCAAGCAATCCCAAATTGACGTTGATTTAAGGTTAGTTTGATCGTCAGGATTTTTTAATATAATAAAGTGGATAGAAAATCCCCCAAATATGGACATATTTAATCCTATCAAGTATTTAGTACATTTCAGATCATAAACTCATTTTTTAACTCATATTTGATGAGCTAAATTATTATATGAGTTAGTTATATTCAATAAATAGGTTTAGAATGGTAAAATCCAAAATAATATAAATGCAAAATGAGTTCACAACTCACCTAAACCCAATCTATCTCTATAACTTTCTCTTCACTCTCTCTCGTAAGGGGTGAGTATGGGCCCAGGGTCCCGACCGAATTGGCTATAGGAGCTGATCCGGTTCCAAGTTTTCGCAACTCCCGGTTCCAAAAAAAGTGAAATCGATACTATACAATTCGGCTCCCGGTTCCTAGGTAAAAACCGAACCAGGAACTGATGAACCGGACATTAGTTAACCCTAAATTCTCTTTTTGTTCTTGCTAACAATAACAAACACTACCTCTCAAGTCTCATTCGCCTCTCATCTTCTTGCTCTGCCACATATTAATAACAACCAGTGCCCACTAACTTAACGTTTTATATTATTTTCTTTCTCTCTATAACTAGTTTCTCACATTTTCGTTCACCCACTTAGGGGTGAGCATCAGTCCAGGGTCAACCCTGGACCCACCTTGGACCGACCCAATCCGACTAGTCCTGGTTCTCTTCCCAGGGGGGCTGGGCCGGTCCTTGGTCCCGGAACCCCTGGATCCTGCACTATGCGGGTTGATCCTCGATCTTGAGACTTTAGGATTGGTCCAACCGGACCAACCCTATATATATTATATATAATTATTATATATCATATAATATATTATATATTTTTGTTTATTTTAAACCCTACCTTAGCAATTGTGCCTCTATTATTTCTCTTTCTAATTCGTTTATGCCGCGTAGAATTGTAAATTAGAAAGTAGAAACCCACTTTTCTTTAGTCAAAAGAAACCCACTTAACTGGTTTTTTTTTTTGTCTGTCCTACTCTAACTCTCAATTCACTCTTAGACTTTTGCTTTGCCTCTTATAGGACGTAGGAGTCGAAATCCACATATGAAACTACACCTCCCCACCCCTAACCCCTTTGAGAAGATAGGGAATCGAACTCCTCACCTCCCCATTCCCAAGTAGGAAAGGTGGCCACTGGGGTAAACCTCAAGTGGTTCACTTAACTGGTTCACCCAGCCATAATTTGATCAAAAAAATAGAAACCCTCCTCTTCCTTGCCTGTCACCTCGCTTTGTTCGCTTGCCTGGGAAACCCTATTGCTCGCCTCACGTCACTAGCCTCTTCGCTCCCCTTGGCCTCACTTTCACGTGTTTGTTTTTTATGGTTTGTTGCTCTTAGCAAATGAAG